TAGGGCTCTTAGGAGGCTGCAGTGAGCGAAAGCAGGCCTCGTTTAGAGCAGTGCTTGAAAGGTGCTGTTGGCTGGTGCCCGCAGCTTGGCACTGGACTGGTGACAACACAGCACGCGCAGTGGAGCATGCATCGCGCTGTCTGGTCATGCCCCGTCCCCATGGTCAGTTGCTGATTAGATCCCTCGTGGTCCGTAGAGTCTTCATTCACTGATAGAATCGGCAGGCCTTTCTTCCTTGTCTCCGTCTGGAAGCTCTGGTGAAGCCTGTGCACCATGATCGTGCACAAGCCGGCACTGACAGATGCAGTGCACGAGGTGCGTCGGCCAGGAATCTACCCATGTCGCCTGCATGGAGGATTAGAGTTCTGGCACGGACCCGCCACTGCCCTTACCGGAAACATACTCAAGACTCAGACTCACTGCCCTCAAATCAAATAACTAGTATTTAGTTATTATTTACTATGTATTATTATTAGCAGTCGTGTGAGCAACTTACTCGTGACTGCTGGTAGGCAGGCAGTGAGTGGGGCCAGCCACCATGGATTATCTCTGAAAACTCACTGCTCTAAATTCACTACCATTTCCTCCCAGGTGGCTGGAGAAGGAAGTGTCCTTGGATGAAATGGGTGCATGCTCTGAAATACCCCTGAATTGGCCCCCGCTGGGAGATCCCTGCCATACCTGGAAGGTGATGCCATGGCCTTTGGGTCCAGGCTCTCTCCGGAGGGCATGAGTCTCTTCCCATTGCTGGAGCCCATCTGTAACCTATGTGTGGGCCCCACCTTGTGGGCAGCACTGATTTGGGACGCCAGCCAAGTCTGGGCTGGTATCCGAGCGGGACTGGCCACCTGTTTTGACACTGTGCCATCTAAGTGTTCATTTTGCCCCTCCCCCGGTGGGGGTGAAAGTGACAGCCATGGTGAATCCACTACCACCTGCTTTGAGTTTCCTGTGTTGCCATGAGCAAGTGAGCAGGGAGGTGCAGCTGTAACCTGCTGATCGATCCCACAGACCACTGACTGCAAGGATGGCTTACACTTGCCTCTGGCTCATGGCCACCTTATGAAGGAAAGGCTGCCTGGTCCCGTGCCGTCTCCCCGAGTGATCTGAGTGTATCTGAGTCCATGTGGTCTTGTTGGGCAATTCCATCTCATGAGGGTTTCTCTTGTTTTCACTAAGCCTCTGCCCTACCAACTGTGATGCCCTTCCGTGGCCATTGGCCTTTTCTGAAGACATGTCCAGAGTGAGTGAGCTCAAGTCTCTCTCCCTCCTTTCTTCGAGATGATTGAAAACCCTTTGTGACCCCCTCTCCGCCCCCGACACTCCCATGTACACTGGGTGCCTTCGGCACATCTGTCCAGTGCTGCACGGGTTACCTGTGGCCCAAAGAACTCTAGCTTCTCATTGCCTGCAGGACCTAAATAATATCGAGGTTTCCACCCGCCCCCCACCCTGGCTAATGACTGCTGAGGGAGCATCACTTCCTTGTTCCACTTTCCAGGTGCGTGTGTACCTCTTCTTGCCAGAAAGGTGGAACAGTCAGTGTGTACTTTAAAATTACAGGTACACGCAGTACCTGATGGAGAGCCAACCCCACTCTCAGTTTGGGGTTTTGCTGACATTCAGTAAGAACTGGTTCCCATCTCCCTCCACCTTGCCATGCAAGGTTTGCGCATCTGCACAGCTTCTTGCCATCTTAGAGATTTCCCCTCTCAGCTTACAGATCCCGAATCATAACATCAAATCAGCTAATATTTTGAAATGGAAGTCCTGTTTGTGTTAGTCTGGGTAGGACTAGAGAAACAAATTTCTTTTTTTCTTTTTTTTTTTGAGAAACAAATTTCTAGAGATACTCATATGTGTATAAGAAAGAGGTTTATATGCAAGAGCATTCGGGTATTGAGAAAGGATCCCAGCCCAGTCCAGATCAAGTTCATAAGTATGGGCTACCAATCCCCACATTCGAATGGGTCCAGGGAGAGGTTGTGTAAATAAGGAGCAGAATGAAAGAGACATCAGACAAGATAAGGCATGCAGTTGCTCACCTCCCGGACAGCCATGATCTCAGCAGCCAGGTCCAGCAGAGAGCAAATATATTTCTGACTAAGACTTATATACACTTAGGGAGTGTGCAAGTCCCCCTAATTACAGGTAACCACAGACGTAACAGGAAGGGGCTGTACAATGGGCATACGTGCGACAGGAAGGGGACAAGCTAGGTGTGCACACACAATAGGAAGGGGAGATACTAGGGGTATGCATGTGACAAGGTGGGCAGACTAAAGTCAAGATGGCAGCCTAACCTTCACGCACTTGAGTTAGCTTGACCTTGTCTTTGGTCTTTCCTTTAGGGGAATAATCCACTATCCTTATCCCAATGGAGTGGGCCCTACTTAGGACGGGACAGACTGTAGAGTCTGATTGCTCCAGATGACTGATAACCCTCAGGGAGATAACTCATAAGCAGTTGACCACCAAGTGTATAGTCAGTTGACCAGTGTTAGCAAGCAGCATGTTAGGTTTGGCATATAATATGGGGGGATATCCTGGGGAAAAAATCTGTATCCCACACATAAATGTGATATTAGCCCATATGTCAAATACCAATCTATAAAGTCCTTTTGAGACTCACAAAACACACGCAATGATGCCAGATCCAGGAAGATCACAGGCCAGTGGGTGGAAGGTCTTGTGGCTCCAGTGGTGATGTAAGCATCTTGGCACTGGCAGGGGTCTCCAAGTGGCTCCTCCAGCTCCATGGCTCTAGTCTAGCTCCAAGTGTCTTGTTCAGCAGCAGTGTGGCCCAGAGAGCTAGTGTGGGCCCCGCCTCCAGCGAGCTATTTATCTTCTTAGCGCCTGAGTTCATCAAGCTATGACCTGATTGACAGGCTAAACTCCACCCCATTCACTCTTAAGTCTCAAATTGACAACAGATTGTGTAACTACCACACTGTTTAGAACTGTTTAAGGAAAACAGGACTTTCTGGTTGATTGCACCATCTCCCCACTGGCCACGTTACTAACTTTCTTCCTTCTCCACAGCAGAATGGAAGTGTGGGAAGGACGTCGACTGATGCAAGAGCCCGAGTGAGACCCACCCACTCGCCAGCGCAGGCCCCACCATGCGCTTATGTCTACCTTCTGTGCTGTAATTGCTGAGGGCCTGTGAACACGCCGGAGCACAATGGCTCTCTTTACTCCCTGGAAGTTGTCCTCTCAGAAGCTGGGGTTTTTCCTCGTGACTTTTGGCTTCATTTGGGGCATGATGCTCCTGCACTTCACCATCCAGCAGCGAACTCAGCCTGAAAGCAGCTCCGTGCTGTGCGAACAGATCCTGGACCTCAGCAAAAGGTACATCAAGGCGCTGGCAGATGAAAACAGGAATGTGGTGGATGGGCCCTATGCTGGAGTCATGACAGCTTATGGTAAGCAATGTGCTCGTGGGCCTTTCCTGGGGGAGAGGGGCATGGCTTTGCCTTGATGGGACCCCGAAGACTCTTAAGGCATGGTCTTGACAGGGTTCAAGTGTTTGGGGCCACTGCCTCCCTGGGTGTTCATTCCAAGATTGCCCACAGAGGTGTGTTTCTTGAAAGATGATGCCCTACCTATTCTTGTTACTGTGCTGCACTGCCCTGCACACACAGACAACTCACCCCACGAGCAGTGGGCAGTCCCGGGCCTAGTCTGCCGGTTGTTGTTAATTTGCAGGTAGCTGCCCTGTCTGGGAGTATGTTCAGAGAATGCAGAAAATGTTCTCATTATCTTTCAGTAAACAAAACTTAATTGGGCCTGGTGGGGTGAAACAGGGAGGGATGGAGGAATGTTCCAGGGATTCCCAGGAACCCCGAGCCAAGCGTGGGCCTCCTCCAGGCAGGGCTTCGGACATGAGGGCACACACGCTAGCCGATCACGGTGGCCTTTCGTTTTCTTGCTTTTACTACTCTTGTTTCTTATCTCTTGTTTACTACTCTTGTTTCCCTCACCCTGGAAGAAATCTTTTGCTTTTTCGTTAGGGTATCACACAAATTTTTTTTTTTTGAAATGAGGTAGGGGGGAAAACATGGAATATAGCTTATTGTTTTCATTTGGCAAAGCAATCTTGTAGTGCACTAATATGGAACCTTTTGGAATCCATAGACCAACCCACAGCAAAGGACAAAGAGAAGAAAGTCCCATCGAAACCTGCCACTCCAGGGGGTGCCTGGGGGGCAGGGGGGCTAATACTGATGAGGGCAAACATGAAGGCACTGTTCTCAAACTGACTATGTTAGTCATTGCCCAACGCTTCCTGACATGACTGAACTATGGTTTGTGAATTTATGGCACTAACGCAGTTAACACATTGCGGACGGATCCCAAGTTTACTCGCGTTTCGTGCGCCATCTGCTATGGATGGATCACGAGATAACTCGTGATTTCTACACGCTGTCTTCAGATGCCATCTGCTTGGATATATTTGAACTACTTCATCTATTTAGGTGTTTACATCAGTAGTGAATGTATCAAATGCGATTGTCTTCATGTTCTTTTCGTTTATTTAGCATTTTGGTTAAATCAAATAGTTACTATTTGTTTGACTGGTTTTGCAAGGATTTGTGCACGTATCATGATCAAACCTCAGTGAAATGTAAAACGTCACCTAAATCACTCAAGGGGTCTCCCGTTACACAAAAAGACAGGAAGAAATTCTCAGCCCTAATTCTTCTAATTATTCAATATAACATGGATGAAGTTGATTAGTTTTACAAGATCGTTCATAAAAGTGAAAATGTTCTGCATACATTGCAAATTATTGTTTCATAATGTGAGGCGTTTTATATTCAAAAACAAAGTTATCAATAAATATGATAAAAACTTGATGAGATGTAAACCCATTTATGGTTCAATGCAAAAAAACAAAAACAAAAACCTAACAGCCAAAAAAATACCTGGCCACTTGGGTAAGTTAGTAAAAAAATATCCGGTCTTTAATGTGTTAATTTTTTAAAAAAAGTAAAAACAAAACCTGTCACTCCAGGAAATAATCACAATTTATACTGCAATGCCTTTCTTCCTGATATTTTCTATACATGCGTGCAAAACATAGATGCATAAAGGCTTACAAAACAAAAATTGAGAAGGAGACTTGGATTACAGCTTGCTCGTCAACACCCAGCTCTCCTGGAATCAGTCACTTGCTCTCCTGAGGCCCTGAGGTGTAGACAGTGACCTCTTGTCACTGTTCCGTGACAGAGCCAGGCTCCCGTGGTCTCGTGTGTACGATGCTTACTGTGAAAGAAAGACAAGGATGGGGCTGGGAAAGGTGAAGACTGGTCTGTGATCCAACCAGGGAAGATTCCTGAAATGTGTAGACGCGAAATACGGATTCTGAAAATGTGCAACAACAGAGTAAAGCATCAGTTAAAATACACCACGACACTCATACATATAGTTAGATAATTAAATAATATATATTAAAGCTCAAGGGACCTGGATACTTTTATTTCATTTACTTTTCTTTGGGGGCCAATGGCTACTTTTAAGGAGCAATGTCAGCATTCTGTTTGAGTGCTTATTATTTGGGTTACTTCATTATCTGCCTTTTTTATTAAAATCCGAGATTTGATATTCTTTTTCTGCATTGTCTTTTAACGTCTGTGTGTAAAATTTCACTCGATGATCTGGTAGAATAAACGCCTGAGACTGTTTTGAGAGCCCACTTTTAAAAAACAGCCAGGTGGTGTTCAGAGGGTGCATTTTCAGTTAGGGCTCCCCAGAGTGTTGCTGCCCACCAGAATGAAGGCAACGAGTGAACCGCCAGCCTTCTTGTCACAAGTGTGCATCATGTAACATTAAAGTTTCTGCTTAGAGATAGCCTAGTGGGGGAGAAATAGGAGGTGAATCCGGTAGTGTTTAACTTTTTCTGTTGACCTTCATCGCTCGAATTCTTCTTTGGAACGTAATGCAGTCTGGTAAGTTTATAGTAAATAATTTGTAGGCTTTCCATTTCTCTAGTTATTTTTAGCAGTTTTTATTTATTTGTACAGCTACAACGAAAAGTCTCATAGAGAAGGTTGTCTTTCACTATCTAAAAGGCCAGGATCTGGTCTTAGCTTTTTAACCTCACAGAAGTACCACCACCACCACCACCAACAACATCGAAAGCAGCAGAACCTCCTAGAGCTGTCTGTCAGAGTTCCTGCCACCTTACATGCTTAGAAAAGAAGCTCGCAGAAACCCACAGGTGCAGGTTTCCTCTGTCCTATGGGCCTACTGTGCTTCAGAATGGCCACAGTGGCAGTGCCTCGCTTGGTTTGAAAATGCTCAGAAAGGAGCCCTGGGAGCACATGGGGCTACAAACCTACCGACCACTCCACGGGAACAGGATGTGACAACCTGGCTCCAGAAAGACTTGTCAATGAGTTTGAGATGGTTTTTGGTCCATGTGCTTAGATTCATAGGACTTTGGAGTTCCAAGGCACAGCTACCCTGTTTCCCCAAAAGTAAGACATCCCCCGAAAATAAAACCTACTTAAAGTTTTGCCTCTCGCTGAAATATAAGACAGCCCCCTGAAAATAAGACCTCTCCCCCACAATAAGGCCCCCCCGAAGCTACTGTAACTCTGGACTCTGGACTGTAGTGGTGGGCGCTGCCGCCCAGCTCACTGTTGGGCACAGCACAGCCAGAGCAGACAGGAAGTGCGAGGTCTCTTTTAATAAAACAATAAACAATAAAGGTGTACTGTATTCTTCATGGAAAATAAGACATCCCCTGAAAATAAGACCTAGTGCATCTTTGGGAGCAAAAATTAATATGACACTATCTTATTTTCAGGGAAACAGGATAAATATATTTATTCCAGCTTCCCCCCTTTACAGATGAACTTTGGGAAAGTAATTCTTCTTTTTCTGAAAACAAAGAACTGGAGATAAAGAAAGGCTCCAAATGTAACACTCACTGCTATATTTTTCTTACCTCAAATCAACTTGACAAAGTGTTCTTCGAAGCCAGTTTCTGGAATCATAATGGACTATGCATGGAACCCGAACATGGATCAAGAGCCAGTTTTGCAAACAGAACAGGGGGATACTATTGTCTGGCTTAAAATCAGGAAAAGATTGGATTCTTTCACTGTACTTACTCAATCTGTATGCCAACCAAATAATCAGAGAAGCTGGATTATATGAAGAAGAATGGGGCTTCAGATCTGCAAGAAGGCTGATTAACAACCTGCCTTAGAGAAATGGCACACGCTTGCTTCCTGAATGTGTGGACCCGTAGCACTTGCGATGAAAATCAAGCATTATAGCCCTCTGTATAGATTACAACTCAATGTAAAAACAAAACAAACCCACTGCTCTCTAATCTACTCTGATGCACAGAGGAGCCTATAGGCCAGGGTAAAACTGCTCCTGTGGTTTTCCGAGACTATAATTCTTTACAGTAATGGAAAACCTGATCTTTTTCTGTTAGAGCAGCTGGTGGCTTTGAACTTCTGACCTCATGAAAGTAGCATTCAAGAAATCCAGTGGTGCATTGCATTGGGTAAATCTGCTGCACCAGACTTCTTTAAAGTGTTGAAAAGCAAGGCTGTTAAGAAGTCCCCAACCCAAGCCATGGGATTTTCAGTCACCTCATGTGAGAATTGACATTGAGCAAGGACGAACAAAGGGTCAATGAATCATGGTGCTGCCGAAGAATATCGGACTGTCAAAAGAACAAACAAATCTGCCTGTGAAGAAGTACAGCCGGAGTGCTTCTTAGAGGCAAGGATGGACAGAGTTCATCTCTCTGATTTTGAACAGGTGATTAGGAGAAACCAGTCGCTGGAGAAGGAGCTCATGCTTCTATAATGTGGTCCATTAGACTTGGTGGAGAGACAGCGAAAAAGAGGAAGGCTCTCAAGGAGATGGATTGACCCAGTGGCCACAACAATGGGCTTAAGCATCCGAACAATTGGGAGGATGGTGTTGTGTGTTTCGTTCTGTTGTCCATAGGTTTGCTCCGAGTCGGAACTGACTCCGCCCCCTAACAGCACCATGTTCATGGGCTTGAGGTTTGAGCTGGTAGGAAAAAAAATGATAGAAATTTACGAGGAGCTTTTTGAAGCCCGCTTGTATATGCGATCATTATGTGGCAGGATCCCTCTGAGTCAAAGTTCCCGGTGTCAGCACTGGATAGCAATTTGGATGCTCATTGTGCTGGGGAGGGTGTTTAACCACATCCCTGGTCTCTACTCATTAGTTGTCAGTGGCAACCCCTTCCCCACTGTGAACATCAAAAAATCATCAAGGCCACCACCCGATGTCAAAATTGCCCTTACTCCCACCTCTGAGACTTGATGCAATTAAGAGTTGAAATAACAAAACACTTTCTCACACCATCGTCTAGTGGAAAGTTTGGCTTGGACTAGTTAACATTAGATAGCATAACATCCTCCCCCTC